GCTGCTTGGCCTGCTGTGTTCATCCAGCCCTGCACCTTGTTGTCTCGTGGTATCCGGCGATGTTTGTTTTCACTACACATTCCAGTTGCTGCAGTAATTCGCTACTGCTCTATCCCTCCTAGCCCCGCCTCCAGCCCCGCCCCCCGGATCCAGCGCTGACTCACTGACGTTGCCTGATGCAATCAACCGCAGGGGCCTGGTCTTACGCATGCGTCCTGATTGATCCCCGCTCTTGACCAATCAGAGATTCGAGCTCGGCGCCGGATGGGTGTGTCCCAGTGTCCCCTCCCCCCAAACGCCGGTAGTTGACGGCCGGAGTCGGAGAGAGGGGCTAATCGTGGTGTTTTGGTAGGGTGTAGTTTTAACATGTCTTTCGGGGATATTAATCAAGAGGCGGAGAAGCTGACACTGGGTAAGTGGCTAATCTTGTGGAGTGTATCTGAAGCGGACAAATCCTGGTTGAATGGGTGTCCTCCCAGGCGGCTGCGGCTGGGTGGGCATGGCCGCTCTTCCTCCCTGGTGGCCTGGGCTTGGAGGCTCATCCTTACCTTATGTGGGTGGTCGATGCCTCCAGGTATTTGTGGGGCGGATTTCTTAGACTCCTCAATGTCCTACACTGTGCGGTATGTGTCTTGCCATCCCTCTTGTGCCGCAGCCCTGAACATCGTTGGTTCCACACGCAGACAGACTTGTAAAACTGAAACCAAAACTATAGAAACGGTGCTTTTCACTCAGTAGTAGCACTGGACGTTATTTCAGCCAGCCTTTATGCAAGTGGTATTCCTTAATGGATGAAGCCAGTGAGTAGTCTGAAATCAGCGAAAGTGCTGGACATGGACAGTAGGTCTGGCGTCGTTATTTGGAGGGAGAGGGAGAGGGAGAGGGAGAGAGAGAGAGCAAGCAAGAATCCAGGTTTCAGTTCTGCTTAAAGATTAATTTTACTTCTTTCTCCGGTGTGACAGACTTGAGAGTGAGTGTCCTGCATTTTCTATTTTTACTTTTATTTTATTTTTATTGTCTGTGAGACAGTACTCACAATTTTGGCACTAACCCCAAGATGTTAGTAAGGAGTACTGTGCAGGGTTGACCGGGCTTTTTCTGGCATTAGTTGTATTCCAGTGCTAGGTCAACGCCAGGTGATCTGTCTGGTTTCATATCTTTGAAATTTTGTAGCGATTGATACAGCTGCTCAGAGGGCAGTTGAGAGTCAACCACATTGCTGTGGGTCTGAATCCCATGTAAGCCAGACCAGGTGAGGATGGCAGATTTCCAGCTGGACCAGGTGAGGATTGCAGATTTCCAGCTGGACCAGGTGGGGTTTTTTTTGAAAATGGCTTCATGGTCATCAGTAGATTCCAGACACCTATTATTGAATTGCAATTCCACTATCTGCTGTGGAGGGATTTGGACCCAGGTCCCCAGAAATTTAATCAGAGATAGTAGGAACTGCAGATGCTGGAGAATCCGAGACAACAAGGTGCAGAGCTGGATGAACACAGCAGGCTAAGCAGCATCATAGGAGCAGAAAGGCTGACGTTTCATCTGATGAAGGGTCTAGGCCCAAAACGTCAGCCTTTCTGCTCCTATGATGCTGCTTAGCCTGCTGCGTTCATCCAGTTCTGCACCTTGTTTCCCCAGAAATTTAGTTGAGTTTCTTGGTTAATTGTCTAGCAGTAATACCACTAGGCCATCGCCTCCCCACTGAGGAGTGTGATGGAATACTCCCCACTTCCCTGGATGGGTGCAGCTCCTAGCAAAATTCAAGAAGCTTGACACTACTCAGAACAAAGCAGCCCATTTGATCGGCACTGCATCCACAAGCATCCAATCAATCAGTTCCAGCAGTGTGTGCTATTTATATGGTGCACTGCAGAAAATGACCAAAAATCCTTTGAGAGCACCTTCCAAATCTACGACCACTTCCATCTGGAAGGAAAAGGTCAGCAGGTATATGGGAACACCACCACTTGCAAGTTTGCCTCGAAGGCACTCACCATCCCTACTAGAAATAGATCAGCTGGATTAAAATTGTGGAATTGCCTCCCTAAGGACATTATGGGTCAACCTACAGCATGTGGTTCAAGAAGGCCACTCACCACCATCTTCTCAAGGGTGGCTGTGGATGAGCAATAAATGCAGGCAAGCCAACAATGCCCACATCCCACAACTGAATTAAAGAAAAGTTTGAAGATGACAGAAAGCGTGTGATGCTTTTGCCAGAGATGCTGTCATAGCATGAATTTTTAAAAATTCCTTCTGATTCCAGATCTGCAAGAATTGATTTCAGATTTCTTAAGTTATGACTTGGTTTACTTCTGAATTGCTATACTCTTGAAATAATGACTATTTGTTGATGCTGACGAGTTTCAATATCTCCCTTTTTCTTCTAATGTTGCAAATTGAGGAATTTCTTAATTTTACAAAGCTATATTATCTCAATAACCTGCTCACTGATGCTCGGATCAGATTCTGCCATTTGAGCTACCTTCCTTATCAGCATAGCAAGTGTACCTACACCAAATGTACTGCAGCAGTTTAGGAAGGTGGCTCAGTACCACCTTCTCAAGGGTAGTTGAAAATCAGTAACAAAAGATTGGTCTTGCCAACTGTCTTATTGCTTGAATTAAAAAATAAAGTTAATTTTATATTTTTAATACTAAGGAGTGAAATTATTTCATGCACTTTTTAGTTTGCAAACTTACCAAGTCTGGGAAGCATTTCAAGGGCATTTGCTTGAGTTTTTAACCCTGCAAAACAACTTGATAAAGGTATTATTTTTGGATACACTTCCTTTTAGAAAATATTTATGGTGCAGCAAACGTTAACAAAATCATGTTTTTTTTAAAATTTATTTATTTGTGGGATGTGGGTATCGCTGGCTGGCCAGCACTTATTACATGTCCCTAGTTGCCCTTGAGAAGGTGGTGGTGAGCTGCCTTCTTGAACTGTAGGTTGACCCACAATGCCATTAGGGAGGGAATTCCAGGATTTTGACCTAGCGACAGTGAAGGAATGGTGATTATATTTCCAAGTTAGGATGGTGAGTAGCTTGGAGGGGAACTTGCAGTTAGTGGTGTTCCCATATACCTGCTGCCCTTGTCTTTCTAGATGAAAGTGGTTGTCGGTTTGGAAGGTGCTGTCTGAGCATCTTTGGTGAATATCTGCAGTGCATCTTGTAGATGGTACACTGCTGCTACTGAGTATTGAGTATTGAGGGAGTATTGATGGTGGAGGATACTTGTGGATGTAGTACCAATCAAGCGGCCCCAACAGCACTCGAAGCTTAACACCATCCAGGACAAAGCAGTCCTCTTTTACTCTCTGTCTAAAAAAATTTGCCTCTTGTGTCTTTGTTAAATCTCTCTCCTTGCATCTTAAAAATGTGCCCTTTAGACTTGAAATTCCCCATCTTAAGTCAACTTCCATCAAATCTATCTATTCCTCTTGTTATTTTATCAACTTCTGTCAGGTCGCCTCTCATCCTTCTATGCTCCGGTGGAAAAAAAGTCCCAGCCAATCCAGCCATTCTCTATAACTCAATTGAATGTCAAGGAATGGCATTAGATTGTCTCTTATTGGTGATGGTCATAGCCTGGCATTTGTGTGGCACGAATGTAACTTGCCACTTGTCAACCCAAGCTTGGATATTGCCCAGATCTTGTAGCATTTGGACATGGACTTCTTAAGCATCTGAGGCGTCACAAATGGTGCTGAACATTGTGTAATCATCGGCAAACATCCCCACTTCCGATCTTATTGTAGAGAGAATATCATTGGTTGGGCCTAGGATACCACCCTGAAGAACTGCTTCAGAGATGTCCTGGAGCTGAGATGACTGACCTGCAACAACCATGACCATCTTCCTATGTGTCAGCTATGACTCTAACCACAGGAGAGTTTGCCCCCAGATTCCCATTGATTCCAGTTTTGCTAGTGTTCCTTGATGGTGCACTTAGTCAAATGCAACCTTGATGTCAAGTGCTGTCACCCTCGCCTCACATCTAGAACTCAGCTCTTTTGTCCATGTTTGACCCAAGACTGTATTGAGGTCAGAAGCTGAGTGGCCCTGGCGGAATCCAAAGTGGATGTCATGGAGCAGGTTATTGCTGAGCAGGTGCTGCTTGATTGCACTGTTGCTGACACCTTCCATCATTTTACTGATGACCGAGAGTAGACTAATGGGGTGGCGATTGGCTGGGTTGGATTTGTCCTGCTTTTTGTGTACAGGACATACTTGGGCAATTTTCCACATTCTGTGTAGATGCCAGTGTTGTAATTGTACTGGAACAGCTTGGCTAGGGAAGCAGCAAGTTCTGGAGCACAAGTTGTCAGTACTGTTGCAGGAATGTTGTCAGAGCCCGTAGCCCTTGCAGTCTCCAGTGCGTCTCCAACTGTTTCTTGATATCGCGTGGAGTGATTTGAATTGGCTGAAGACCTGCCTTCTGCAATGCTGGGGACCACTGGAGGAGGCCATCTACATAAATGTGCCTAGAATGCTCAGTCACGGTACAAGCACCTGGGCCCAGCCACAGCCTGGAGTCTAGGCCAGTCCAAGTCCTGCCCAGAGGAGCTGCGCTACTGACGCTGCTCCCAATGCCAGGACACCCAGGAGGGGAGAAGGGCCTGCTATCGCCGCTGAATCGATCATTGAACACCAGGAATTGGGGCCCGGAAGGACCCAAGACCACAGCCGCCTCATCTGCTTACACTGCCACCAAAATGGCCGACTCTGGCCCGTGCTCAATCTGCTGCCGTTGCTCTGGCCCATGCTGGATCCACTGCCACTGTGGTACGCGGCCCGTGTGTTCAGCTCCTGCCTGGTCTCCGGTCGCGACCTGACTCCTTTCCTCAGTTAGGGATAAAGTTAAATGTTGGGTGGGGGAAGGAAAAAATAAATACTGCAGAGAGGGTAGAGAAAGGAGAAGGAAAGGGAACTGGCGAGCAGAGGAGCTCCAACTGGAATGTCTTACCCTGCCACTGTCTTGAACTAGGGATGTTCAGGCTAGTGGAATAGCTACCAATGTAGCAGATGAAATTTAACGTGAGATACGCTTTGATAGAAACTACAATTTAGAGGCGATAGAAACGGAAGAGTTTAGTTCTAAAGGTGAAAGTAGCAGAAAGGACATGTAGATACATGTGCATAAATTGTTAACGGTGATGGGACAGGTAGATTAAATAATTAGCGACATCGGATCCTGGGCTTTAGATATAGATGTTGGAATATGAAATCAAGTAAGTTATGACAAACCTTTATAAACCACTGGTTTGATCTCAAGTGAAGTATTGTGTACAATTCTGGGTGCACACTTCATGAAGGATGTGAAGATTTAGACACAGTTCAGGCAAGTCTTCTAAGAATTGCTCAGAGTTGAGAAACTTGAGGAGCATGGATTGTTTGGAATATCTTGGAAAGTTTGAGAGTAGAGTTAATAGTGATTTTCAAAATGATGAATGATCTTAACCAAGTATATGGGGAGAAACTGCTGTCATTGACAGGTCAAAAATTAGTGGAGACCAATTTAAGATGAGGTAAAGGTCTTGAAGTTACATGTTTTGGAAAATGTTTGCACGCAACTATAGTTTAGGTTCTGGGATGCACTAAGGGTCTTGTGATAGTGGATTGAAGTATGGCTTTCCCAAAGATATGTTAGATTATTAACTGAAGAGGAAGAATATCTACAGGCCTATGGGGAATAGGTGAGATTGTGGCATCAGGTGAGTTGATCTTTCTCTCAAACTCAATTTACTGCCGTAGACAATATGGTCATAGAAATAGACAGTGCCTGTGTAAATTTTACCTCCACTGAAGCTAGGGAATTTAATTGAATTAAAAAGCAGAAGCATTGTGCAATAGCCAACTTCAGATATGGCTTAACTTTTTTTTTTCTTTGTTTGTTTGAAAAGAGAGAGAACTTGTTGATTAAACGTTTTATTGGAAACTATAATTCATAGAATCCCAACACTGTGGAAACAGGCCCTTTGGCCCAACAAGTCCACACTGACCCTCGGAGCTTCCCACCCTGACCCATCCCCCTAATCTACGCATCCCTGAACACTACGGGTAATTTAGCATGGCCAATCCACCCAGCCTGCACATCTTTGGACTGTGGGAGGAAACCGGAGCACCCGGAGGAAACCCACGCAGACATGGGGAGAATGTGCAAACTCCACACAGTTGGCCGAGGGTGGAATCGAACCTGGGTCCCTGGCATTGTGAGGCCGCGATGCTTACCACTGAGCCATCATGCCACTCTAATAATGTAGATTTGAACAAAGCATGCTGCTGCTTGTTGACATTCAGCATGTCACCTCGAGAGTACATTCAGATGGTGGAAAAGTAACAATATTAATGTAAAACAATACTAGATTGGCACAGTGAATTTAGCTGTGGTGTTAAAGATTTTAGGTACCACCACAGGGGAATTTTGGAGTATTTTTTTAATTGTCCCTTTGAAGGTTCAGTTTGTAAAGGCAGTGGGTGAGTAACGGAAGCAGACAGACCAAAGGATCTCTGATTCAATCTTCAACCTGTTCGGATTCATTGGTTACAGCAATACTGGCAGTAAAACGATTTAGATATCTAGGTTAGCACTTGAGAAGATGACACTTCAACAAAGAACTAAAGCATTGCTAATATCTGTGAAAATGCATGTCTCTGGAAGAGAAGAGAGGAAATATTTAACCCATCAAACGTGCAATTTTGGAACATAATACTTAAGTTCAAACTGTTGTGATAGTTTTCAATTTTGATTTGCTGGTGAACAGCATAACTGGTTCATAATTCTGCTGTTCTCCTATTACTATCGTTATAATTTAATGAATCAGCAAAGACGCAATGTAGTGAAATAGTGCATCAAATTAAACATACTTGCATGTATAGTTCTTGGCATGTGAAGCACTTTGTAGTGTTTTGTGAGGATGGATTAGAACATTATATAAATGTAGGCAGTTTTTTCCACAAGACCTCTAACGCTTGCATCTGCAGAAATAAGATTTTCAATTTTAACATTTTTCAGCTGAACTGTATGTCTCTAATCGTGAAGGAGATGATGAAACTGGAACAGGAACAAAGAACAAGCCATTTAAAACAGCTCTTCGGGTAAACTTTCAGTCAGTAACAGAAATTGAGATCAATTATTTAATGAAAATACATATAGTTTATGAACTGACTCTGTTCCTTTTGTAGGCCTTACAAGTGGCAGGGAAGGAACCGTTCCCAACTATTTATGTGGATTCCCAAACAAAAAATGAGGTGAATACAAATCCTTTTTTAAAAATGTGTTTTTCATCAACATTTAAATAAAAAATAGATCATTTTGTAGGGTATAGAGGCTGCTTAAATGGTGGTATCCTGTCCTGGAAGCAAGTATCGTAAAGTTTCATGTTTGATTTCTGCTCTGTAATCTTGTTTTGAGTGAGAGGCTGCAAATGTAGGAAGTCTAATGCATCTTGCACAATTCTTCTATGTGGAAAATTATATATTGGAAAAGTCCAAAATTAATTGAAGGGCAACACAAATATGTAATTAATTTTTAAGCTATATGTGTCTTATATTTTTCATTTAATGTATATTATTTTTATATAAAATAACATCATTTTAGATTGTGATTAACAATTTCAGTTGATGGACCAAATGATTCTGAACACTGAATGAAGTATGACAAGTTTTTTTTTGCTAGTTATTAAAAATTAAATCTTAAGACAACATTATTTGATTAAAAACTGTAATAATGTGATTTAAACATTTTATTAGGTTCTGTATTGGTGTTTTAGAATTAAAATAAAATAATTTTGTGATAAGCAAATACATTCTAAATCACCTTTATGTACAAAGATGAAGTTGTTAAAAGTTCTGACTCTTGCACGAGCTTGGCTTTGCTTAATCATAATGCAACAAATAAAATGGCAGGCTGAAACTCGCTTTCTGTTTGCAACACATTGAATAAACCAAAAATGAAAGTTGACCAATGGATAATATACGTATTAAATTGAACAGTCTCTTTGCTTGGTGAGAAAACTGGATGTGACTTTGGGTTTTGTATGTTTCTTAGTGATGACCTTGTTTCACCTTGGCGCTGTTTGTCGTGTTCCTTAACTGACAAAGCTAAGATGGTGCCTAAATGTCTGCAAATAGTACTCCCTTTTTTTTCCAACTCTTTGTTTAGGAATTTCAGTTATTTAAGGAACTACTGATACATACATTTGATAATCTGTGCTTCTCCTTTGGCCTGAATTAGCTTGACCTTTCTTCAGTCTAATCCTTAACTTAGCCAAAACCTTGTGGATTGTAACCTACACCTTTAAAACCATAAAACTCTCTTGAAACCCTCTGATTTAAGCAAATTTAGGAAACCTATGGGGCACAAACAATGGCACTTATAGGAGTAATGTCACTAAAATTACAATGGTGGGGATTTAATTAATAGTCTATTAAATATTGTCCTGCTTGGACACATCAGTAAGTTTTTGGAGTAGATCTATAGCTCGGGTTGTGGGTGTTGAAGTTGGTTGGCTCGCCGAGCTGGTTTCTTGTATCGCAAGGTAGGTAACGTCCTCGGTGCAGCCTCCGATGAAGCGTCGGTGTGTTTTCCCGCCTGGTTTTTAAAACTCTGGGGTCCGTTGAGATGGATTGCCTCACTTCCGGGTCTCCTTTGTAGTAGAATATATATGGGGTTGAGTTCAACGTGTTTGTTAATAGCTTGCTTCGTGGAGTGCCATGCTTCCAGGAATCCTCGTGCTTGTCTCTGCCTAGCCTGTCCCAGGATCTTGGTGTTGTCCCAGTCGAAGTCATGGTTCTCCTTGTCCATGTGGATTGAGATGAGTGAGTATTGGTCGTGTCTTTTTGTAGTCAATTGGTGTTCATGTACCCTTGTTGTTAGTTTCCTTCCTGTTTGTCCGATCTAGTGTTTCTCTCAGTCTCTGTGGGGGATCTTGTAGATGACATTGGTCCTGTCCATGGCGGGGAGTGGGTCTTTAGCTCGGGTGAGCAGTTGTCGTAGGGTTAACGTGGGCTTGTGTGCCACTCTGATGCCCAGTGGTCGTAGCGGTCCTACGAACACGAGAATTCCTGGAAGCATGGCACTCCACGAAGCACGCTATTCACAAACAGATTGAACTCGACCCCATATGTATTCTACTACGAAGGAAACCCACAAGTGAGGCAATCCTTCTCGACCGACCCCAGAGTTTTAAAAACCAGATGGGAAAACACAGTGCTTCATCGGAGGCTGCACTGAGGATGTTACCAAGCATGGTAACGAAACGTCTGCAAAACAACAAACCAGCTCGGCGAGCCAACCAACCTGGACACATCAGTTTTTCCTTTTGAAACAGTGTCGAGCATTACAAGTGGGGTTGGTCCAGCTAAAATGATTTTTTTTTTTAATTTCAAGGTATCTAAACTGAAATTGGAGACATAATAGTGCAGGAATCAAAGCAAAATTCCACGTCTCCACTACTGGTGGTGAAAGATGCTTGTGAATGCTCACATAATTATGTTCCTGAAATCAGCCAGTCATTGAGAAGTAGTTTAAAAGGCATACTGGTGGGAACCTGTATCTGAACACTTTTCCATTGAACTACAAGTCAGAATAAGTCATGCTGTCATTTTCTTGATCAATTCTGGATCATTGATTGCAGTTTTGATATCTATCTCCAAAACAGGTTGAAATTAGAAGGGATTAATTAACCAATATGTTTCTGGCTTTTTAGTGCACAAATTATAAGAGGCTTTACCTCCTTTTTTAATTTAATTAATTCATGGGACGTATATGTTGTGACAAGGCCAGCATTATTGCCGATCCCTAATTGCCCAGCGACTAAATGGCTTGCTAGGACATTTTAGAGTGCACTTAAGAGATGACTCCCCAGCTGTGGCTCGCATGTAGGCATGAGGCACCTGCACACTAAACCAGGTAAGGATGTCACATTTCTTTCCCTGAAGGAGATCTGTGAACCAAATGGGTTTTTGCGACAATTGAGTGTGTTTCTATGGCTAGTTTCTCATTCTATATTTTATTCAATTCAAATCTATTTGAACCATGTTTGCAAAATATTAGCCAAGGGGCTGAATAACTTGCCCAGTGATGGGAGAAATGCCTTCAGGGGGCATGATAGAAATGTAAAGACATTCAAATATTTGAAGTTGCAGTAACCCCACACTGATTTGGATGAAAGTTATACATTAGAAAAATTTTACATCTTGCTGGGAATAGGGACAGAGAAAAAGGAGCAGGAACTGATCCACCCTCCCTTTATCGTCAGTCGTGCCATCCCAGGAATCAGTCTGGTAAACCTTTGTTGCACTGCCTCAATAGCTAGAACATTCTTCCTCAGATAAAGAGACCAAAAGTGTGCCCAGTAAGTCCAGGTGTGGTCTCACTAAGGCCAAGTACAATTGGAGCATGACATCCCTGTACCTGTACTCCTATTCTCATCTTCTTCATAGGAAGAGGATTCAAGAACTAGGAGCAGGAATGAGCAATTTAGCCCCTCAAGCTTGCTCCGCTATTTAATACGATAATGGCTAATCTCATCTCAACTCAGCCTCAACTCAACTTTCTTTTATGCTCCCCATAACATTTTAACCTTTTACTCATTAAAAAGTCGGTCTATCTCAAATTTATTCAGTGTCCCAGCATCAACTCCACATGCTAGATTGGCCATCTAGGAAAAACTTACACCCTGTGTCTATTTTGTCAGTTCTTTTTCGCATCTTAAATTTCTCAATTATATCTCTTCTCATTCTTCTAAACTCCACCAAGTATAGGCCTAAACTGCTCAATCTGTACTCCTAAGACAAACCTTTCATCTCTGAAATTCATACCTTTAACATACCATTTGCCTCTTCACCGACTGCTGAACCCGCATGCTTACCTTCAGCAACCGCTGTACGCGTACACCCAGGTCTCAATGCACCACCCCCTTTCCCAATCTATACCAATAAGATAATCTGCCTTCCTGTTTTTACTATTGAAGTTGATAACCTCACAATTATGCATTTTCCCACTCACTCAACTGGCCAAATCAGTGAAGCATCTTTTGATCCTTCTCACAACTCACCCACCCATCCAACTTTTTGTTCTGTGCAAACTCATGATATTACTTTGTTCCCCCATCTAAATCAATAGTATATATTATGAACAGCTGGAGTTCGAACAATGATCCCTCCATCACCCAGCTTGTCAATGCCTACTGCTCAGTAAAAGACCCATTTATTCATACTTTATTTCCTGTCTGCCAACCTGTTCTCGATCCATCTCAGTACACTACTGAGATTTCATGCACTTTAATTTTTCATGCTAATCTCTTATGTTAATCTCTTGACCTTATCGAAAACTTTGTGAAAGTTTAACTAGGATCCACTAGCTCCCCCTTATCAACTCTACCAGTTATATCCTCAAACAATTCCAGTAGATTTGTTAAGCATGAATTCCTTTTCGTAAATGTCCATGCTGACTGCCTGATCCTGTTGTTATTTTCCAAGTGCTCTGCCATTAAGGCTCTTATCACAGACTCTAACATTTCTAGAATAATTGTTGTCAACCCACGAGTTGTTGATTTGTTTCTGATCTTCTCAATGACTGAACTACTGGAGATTTTCCTTTTTGCTTTTGGTGACATCATTGTACTACCATAATAGCTACAAGATTGTGTTTTGCATCTTCATTTTGTTTTAAAAGCGTTGGGAGGTTATATCAAAATCACAGATGAAAAGTGTTAGAAAGCTCTGGCAACGGGATCAAATGAAGAACGAATCAAAAGAAAAACGGGAGGTAAGAAAGATCTTTATTCATTTCTCCACTTCTCATTTGCACCTTTCCTGCAGTGACATCCAGAATTTGAATTCATTCAGTGCTTACCTTTGATTGGCACTTTATTTCGTCAAGGTATTTCCAATTACTTTTGAGGTACAATATAAGAACCATTCTACGCATTCAAAGAATAACATGGAAACATACACAAATAGGATAGATAGAGAGTCATGTAGCAAATTGTCTCTCATCCTCGTGTTTTCATAATGCAGTAATGGAACTACTGATAATCGGCATTAAATCTTGTATCATTTTGTCTGCAACAGACCCACATATGAGATGAAGGAAAGAACTGGTATGGATAACTTTTGCATACCATGGGTTCAAAGGCAGAAATCACAGGCCCTAGTTCTGGGCCAGCCCAGGTACCCAAGCCAAGCACAGTGGGCTCCCAATGCCTTGTGTCCTGTTTAGTGGGCCCTGATGTGTGCCCTTGTTCTGGGCCCAGGTTTGAAATGATCCTCCTTCCATTTATACTACATTTATCACATCTCTTTCACACACTAGTTTGTAAATCTCAAGTCAGCAAATACATTGGCAGTTATCTTGTAAAGTGGCTTACTCTTCATTTAACTTTTCATCTAATGACTTCTTGTACAATGGGTTTGTTTTTCCAAAAGGACAACAAAGTCGGATCTTCACAGAGCTGAAAACCAATATCCATTTTCCCTCCACTTTAGTGCCTACTTTCTCAAATTACAGCTAAATACTGTCAAAGGCACTGAGGGAACTTGCTGCTGTTCATATTATATCATGTGATCTTTGTCGTTTTGGGAGGGGAGGGGAGAATTTTGTTTAACATTTCACTCTTAAGACAGCAGCCCTGGTATTGAGTGCTGTACTCGGTCTTGTACGAGAGTGTCAGATTTGCTCTTGACCTCAAGTCTCAGTCCCTGGAGTAGGACTTGATCTGTGATTTTTAAGACCATATGAAATAGGAACAGGAGTGCCTTCAAAAACAAAAACAGAAATTGCTGGAAAAGCTCAGCAGGACTGGCAGCATCTGTGGCGAGAAAGCAGAGTTAAGGTTTTGGGTTGAGGTGACCCTTTCTCATAAGCAGCTTGTTTGGTACCTGAAGCCTACTCCATCATTCAGTAGGATCATGGCTCATTAGACATTGCTGACATCCACTTTTCTGACCTTTTCTCTATAACTCTCAATTTCCCTACTGATCAACAATCTTTGTATGTCAGGCTTAACTATACTCAAAGATAGTAAGAACTGCTGATCCTGGAGTTAAACATAACAGTGTGGAGCTGGAGGAACACAGGCCAGGCAGCATCAGAGGAGCAGGAAAGTTGACGTTTCGGGTTGGGACCCTTCTTCAAAAAAACTATACTCGAAGTCTACCCCAACAGTTCTCTGTGGCACAGAGTTCCAAAGACTCAAAAGCCTCCGAGAGAAGAAATTCCTCCTCCTCCTTTCAGTCTTTAATACTAATTTTGAAACTATGCCCTCTGGTCCTAGACTTTCCCATGAGGGAAAACACCTTCTTAGTATTTACCCTGTCAAGCCCCTTAAGAATCCCACATATTTCAATGAGATCACCACCTCTCATTCTTCCAAACTCCAACAAATGGAGTCCCAACCTGTTTTAACCTTTGCTCATAAGACAATCCCTCCATCCTAGTGAATCCTCTCTGAGCTGCCTCCTTTGAAATTATCTTTTCATAAGGGGACCAAAACTGCTCACAGTACTTCAGAAGTGGTCTCACCAGCACCTTGTACAGTAGCAGTTGGACATCCCTTCTCTTATACCCCAACTGCCTTGAAATAAGGACTAACGTTCCATTAGCCTTCTTGACTACCTGATGCACCTGTCTGCTAGCTTCTGTGTTTTGTGCATATGAACCCCCACGCCCCCCCCCCTTCCCCCCCCACCGAGTCCCTTTGCAGCTTTCTGCAGTTTCTCCTCATTTCTATAATCTTCTGTTCTTTTGTTCTTCCTTATGAAATGAACAATTTCACGTTTTCCCACATAATGCTCCATTTGTCAATTTTTTGCCCTCTTATAAATATTTCTGTATAAATGGTTTGTATCCCTCTGATAACCCGCCTTACCACCTATTTTAGTGATGTCTTCAAATTTGCCCACAGTACATTCACTTCCTTCCTTCCTAGTAGTCATTAAGATATGTTGCAAACAGTTGCAGTCCCAGCACTGATCCCCATTGGAACTTTTCTGGTCATGGGTCACCAACCTGAAAAAAGATCCCCGTGTTGTCCACTCACTGTTTCCTGCCCATTAGCTAATACGCTATCATGCCAATATACTATGCCCAACACCATGGGCTCTTGTCTTATGACTTAGCCTTTGTGATATACCATAGTGAACACCTGGAAGTCCAAATACAACACGTCTACTTGTTCCCCCCCCATCCACTCTGCTTTGGACTTCCTCCAAAAATTCTCATTGGTTGGACATTGATTTCTCTTTGAAGCCATGCTGACCCTGCTTGATTATGATTTTCCAAAAGTTCTGCTATTGTTTAATTGATTCGCATACTTTTCCAACATTAATGTTAGGCTAATTGGCCTATCTTTATCCACGTTTTGCCTCCTGACCTTTTTGAATAAGGATGTCACGTTAGCAGTTTTACAATCTGCTGATAAAGTGAGTTGCCACCAGTAAATAACAATCAATGGTTTTAATTTAAACCAAACATTGAGTTTAAAAAATACTTCAATGCTAGTGTTAGCTTCAATTCAACTCCTGCTGATGGGATGAGTTATTGCTCCCCTTAAAGCTGTGCAGGTTTTGGATTAAATGAATTTGAATTTATTTCTGACAGATGTCCACACTGCAAAACTCTTTTATAAGTCAGTGTTTATTGGTAGTTCCTTGGCTGCTAGGATGAATATAATGGGGAAATTGAATTAGTTTTTTGTCTGAGTTGAAGTATTGTGGCACTTCACTAGAAAATTTATTTTCTTTAATTCAGTTTCCCTGTGGCCATCACTTAATAAATTGATGAATAATTTGATGTCTTGGAATTTTTCTCTCTGGGTTGAAATTTGAGTTAGTTTCAACATTTATGTTGCACTTTTGAGATTGGAATGAGAAAAACTGGAGAAATGCAATACAATGCCTAGAATGCACCAAAACTGAGGGATTTACCCACATTGGTAGCGATTTAAACAGGTTGGATCCCTTTTTCTTTAGAAAAGACAATAGGGAGACCAGATATAGAGCTTAAAGATTATGAATTGTTTAGACAGGATATCTCTGGAGAGATCAATTTTCTTGTAAGTAGAAACACTAAACAGTAATAAATTATAGGGAAGTGAGGAGAAATTTCATTGTTCAGTGATTTGCAACCATATGAAGTGTTTGAGGTAAATACCTTTCAATGCTTTTCAAAGGAAAATTTAACTATTAATAAAGTCAAGATACAGTCACCATGCTCCTACCAGACCAAATGGCTGCTCTCTGATTTAGAGAGAGGTGACTGGTGGTTTAACTGTGGGTCACCATGCCTTGGGCGAGGTGAGGGGTTCAGAAGGAATGTCCTTCATGGTAACCTCAGCCAATGTGGAAACTGAATCCATGGTTTTGGCAAGACACTGCATTGCAAACCAGCCATCTTGCTAACTGAACTAACCGACTCCCTTTCATAATGAGTATTAAGAGAGAACAGAGGTAAAAAAGGGCAAGAATGAGGTATGGTAGATGAAATGTGTTGAGATGTGAAATGTAAACATCAGGGCAGACATTTAGGGTGGGATCATCTGTTTCTTAGTAGTTTCTCTTTAATATGTAGAACTGTAGTAGCTTGTGTTGGAGTGAATTGCAAATTCTGTGGACTTAATGGTATTTGCTAACTTTTTAGGAGCAGGGTATACATTTTGCTTTTTTTTTTCCTGGACAAACAGATCTTACTTTAAAAGCTCTACTTTTTTTTTCAAACAGCTGGAAGACGCATTACGGCGAGAGAAAAATTTGGAAGAGGCCAAAAAGATAGTTGTTAAACTGGATGTTAGTCTTGGAGAACCACAGGAGGTAATGGGCAAAATCAATTGCAAATTGACAGTGCATCAACCTTAATGTGCAATGAGTTAATAATGCATATAATATTTGAATAAGAAATGGTTTGTGCCATTGTTGATGTACTGTTGGTTAACCCTCTGTTTCATGAGGGGTGAAGAAGCAAATAAAGCTGTGTGTATGTCCCACTTTATAATTTCAACTCCATGAAGTAGTAACTTAGGAGCAAAAACAGAATTTGCTGGGAAAGCTCAGAAGGTAGTAACTTAGTTGTTTTGCAGGGTAATTTTGTCACCAGAAAATCAATATCAATTGTTTTTCTTGAAAGCTATCTTTGCAATGATGTGGTTACAAAATGCCTATAGGATGATGCTGGGAGCATTGGACAGAGTGGGATTTTATTGATATTGGAATACTGGGAAGAATATTTTGGTGGGTATGACCTGTTAGTGTAGAAAGTGTGACAATACTATGGCTTTGAGGGGTGTTTGTCCTTTTTTTGGATGATAGGTTTTAAGGCAGAGGTGAGCTGTCTATTGAAAGCCCTTAAAGTAAACAGCTTGTGACGCCTTGGGCTTTTTTTCAAGTTAAAACAATACAAACAGCCTGAATGAGAGAGTCAAGCTCCCATAGAACCAGACTTTTTAGTTTTAGTTTTTCAGTAACAGTTGCTGGGTCTTGAAGCTGGGTGGAAGCTGCAGTACATCTCTCCTTGCTACTCTCTCTGCTTTCTCTCCATGTTTTTTCTTCTCTTGGTTACAGCTAAAAGCTGGGGGTTCTCTTCCTGCTGCTGGAGTTGCATGTGAGACAATCTTTGTTATTTGTCTTTTCAAGGAGGTGTTTATGGGATGTTACTAAATTAGAAGTTACTGTTTAGTAGTAAAATAATCTATTATTCTGTTAAGTTTTCCAACAGACTTAAGTTATTCCAATTCCTTCTTTCTTTTGTGGTTTAACTATACTGTAGGAATAAGTTATTGACCAGTTGAATTGCATCTGGAATGCAACATATGGACCTTGCCTTTAAAATAAGAAAACATCAGGGTCTATGCTGTCTTCTTAATATATTTTGAGGGGGATGGTTGGTCTGGTCCATAACAAAAGTCATAAGTGTTTTGTGTGGAGGAGTTGAGAAAGAGAGAGAGCGAAGATGAGCAGTTGTTCTATGATTAGTTAGGACTTTGAGGAGCAAAGCCCACTTTGTGAAACGTTTAGATGCTTTGCTTTATCAGACTGAGGGCAATGGAAGCAAATATTCTCCTAGCTCTGTAGCCTCCCCTCTGCTTTTCCGATTTTGTCCTCTTATACAACCCTGATTTTAATTGTGCCTTTTGGCATCCATGCATTCATCTATCTAGGTGCTAATCTCTGTTCCATACCTCTCCTTCCTTATATCCTTCTGACTGTCTCCTTTACAATACCCTTTAAAAACTATCTCTTAGATGACCAAAATGATAGTTAATCTGAATATTCTCAATACAATTTTATATCAATTTTGTTTGATAATGCTGTGTGAAGTACTCGATGTTTTGCTGAGGTAAAGTTACTATATAAATGCAAGGTGATGTTATTGAAGTGTTCAAAGTTCTGAAGGGGCTCAATAGGGTAGATGCTGAGTGATTGTTTCCACTGTTCAGGGATTCTAAACATAAGAACATGTTTGGAGCAGCATATAGGGCTGATTCATCAGGACTCAGATAAGGAGAAATCAACTCTTTCAAAAGTTTCTACTTTTGGAATTCACTACCCCAGAGGGCTTAGATGTTTCTTGATTAAATACTTTCAAGGCTGGGATGGATGGATATCTGGTTATTCAAAGAATTGAGGAATATAGGAAGCAGGTGAGAAAGCATGATTGAAGCTTTAGATGAGCCATAATCGTATTGCTTGGTGGAGTCAAGCTTGACAGGCCATGTGGTCCTATTCTGATTCTGCTTCCTGTGCTTAAGGTTGGGATTTGAGGTGGACAAGCAATGAGGAAGAACATATAAAGTGTACATATAACGAGAAGGAGAGACAGGTGAAAGGATTATTGCTCCAAACATTAAGTTTCATTTCCTTCCTTGAAAGGCTTCAAGAAAAAGACTAGCGCATCTGTATTATTTTATTTACAGGCAGAGAGGGGATGGGTGATAACCAAGCAGAGTAGAGGAATGCAGGTAGTGCAGGAGCCTCTTTGGCTGTCCTCCTCCTGACAGATATAGAGTTTTGGATATTGTTGGAGAGTGTGACTTCTCGGAGTAGAAGCAGAATACAAGACCTTGGCACCATGAATGGCTGTGGTAAACAAGAGGGGAAGAAGAATGGCAGAGCTATTGTTACGGAGGATTCAGGAGTAAGGGGAACAGAGTTGTTTCTGCAGCTAAGAAAGAGACCTCAGGATGGTATGTTGCCTTTCCCATGTCAGAGTCAAGGATGCATCAAAGGATCTGTGGGGCATTCTGAACGGTGTGGGAGGGGATACGAGAGAGATGAATAGTCAATGGTCGTAGTACATATTGGTATCAACACAAAAAGTAAAAACGGACGATGTCCTACAAACAGATTATAGAGAGTTAGGACGTAAGTTATGAAGTAGAACTTCCAAAGTTAGCGATCTCAGGATTACAACCAGTATCATGTGCTAGTGAGAGTAAAAACAACAGGCCATACCAAATGAATACATACATGGAATAATGATATAGGTGGGAAGGATTCAGATTCCTGGGATATTGGGCCCAGTTCTTGGGAAGGAGGACTGAGCAGACCCAGGACTAATGTCCTTTTGTTGGTGCTTTTTAATGACGCTGTCAGGGAGGATTTAAACTGGAATGGCAGGGGGCTGGGCATCTGATCAAGGAGGCAAAAATAGGGAGAAACAAGGGTAGGAACAAAAGACAAAGCGAAGAGGCAAAAGTGGAAGGAAAATATGGGATAAAAATAAATGGGCCTATCATGCAAAATAAAGCTAAGATGAAAGACCAGTCTGAAAGCTTTGTTTCTTTATGCACAGAGCATTCGCAATAAGGTGGATAAGTTAGCAGAGCAAATAGATATAAATGGTTATGGTATGATTTTGTGATATAGTTATGATTATGGAAACGGCTACAGGCTATCCAAGGATGGGAACTGAGCATCCAGGGGCTGGCTGTTTATTTAGGAAAGACAGGCAAAAATGGAGTGAAGGTGGGGGTAACATTGATAATGAAAGATGAAAGTGAGGAAAGATACTGGCTCAGAAAATCATGATGCAGAATCTTTATGGGTGGAGATAAGAAACACAAAAGGAGAAAAAAATGTTGGGAACTGTCTATAGACTTCAAACAGTACTGGGAATTAGATACTTCCTAATCAACCTATTCAGATGTATTATGACACACTTCTGGAGCAAGTGGGACTTGACCCAGGCTTCCGGAATCTGAGGTAGGGGCACTTTCATTGCACCACAAGAGCCCTTTAAAGGTCACCCTTGTTTACACATAGCCCATCACACAGAGATCAACCACTCTCCATTGAGGAATGAGCCCCAGTCGCCATTGTCCTGTACACCAATCAATGAAAGTAGACAGGCAGATGAAGCAAGCAGTGAGGAAGGCAAATTGGATATCGGCCATCATTGCAAGAGGGTTTGCGTTCTGAATTAGAGATGTTTTATTGCAGTTATGCAGGGCCTTGGTGAGACCACACCTGGAGTGTTGTATGCAGTTTTGATCTCAGTCATACAGCATGGAAACAGCATGCTAACAAAGGATAATTCACCATTTAGGAAGTTCACAGGAGGTTCTGTAAGCTGATATGAGAGATGGCAGTATCCTTCTTTGAGGAGAGATTGGTTCGATTGACCCCGTTTGGAAGAATGAGAAGGGAGCTGTTTGAAAGATATAAAATTCTAACAGGCCGAGACAGACTGGATGCAAGGAAGATGTTTTCCCTGTTTGGGGAGGGTAGAACCAAGGCAAACAGTCTCAGAATATGTGTAGGTTATTTAGTACAGATGGGAGGAAAAACAAGTCTTCACTCAGAATGCACGATAGACTATTTAGTACTGGATGTCAGGAAAAAATCTTTCAGAGTTGTGAACCTGTGGAATTATCTACCACAGAAGGCTGTGGAGGGCAAGTCACTGGATATATTCAAGAAATTTAGATTTTAAAGGCGTCAAGGTGTATGGGGAGAAAATGTGAATATGGCATTGATCTAGAGGATCGGCCATGATCATACCAAATGGCAGAGCAGGTTTGAAGGATTGCGTGGTAAACTTTTGCACTTAATTTGTGTTTTTGTTTTGCTGAGAAAGTCTTGTTGTTCATACCTTGGACAGAGCTTCCAGGTTGCACTTCAAATGCATTATAGGGGACGCTTGCATGGAGTTGCATCAATGTTAAGCAGAATCTGGTTCTTTATGATGAACAGATAGTAACATTGAAATTTCGATATTGTTACAATAGTAAATGTGTTGGGTGGATTTAATTCCTGATAACATTCAAGGCATCGCTTTTGTAGTACAGGATCTAATGAACTGTAAGGTTGGTATAAGGTGAGATCTGCAGTATGGGTAGGAAGCAAAGAGCTAGTTTTGGGTAGTGGGGCAGATGCAATGCTGAGCACCAGATTTGCATGAAAATTGGCTTTACTGAATGGGAATGGTCAGCGTATTACAAAACGTGGACCACAACAATTTAAGGAATACTATGCAACTGGGCCATAAATTGCCATCAACATGAGATAAGGGCCATTTTGGTGTACCAGTTCACTGCATCTTACTTTTTCATTAATCAGAGGAAACAATAATGCTGACAATTCAGGCTCATTATTTCCTGGATGTCCCTGATGGTGCTGTGTCCTGAAACTGAAAAAACCCTGGGAACATGCAGCAGCAAGTAGTTTCCTAACTTTACATGTTTCATGTCCCACTTCTCAAGCTGAACTTTTCTTGTTCTATTTCTCCTTCAGTAAGTAACTGCAAGTCCAAATAACTTTTTATTGAGGTTATGAGTTTGAGAGTCTAAATTGGATATTTTTTTCATTGAACCGTTTAATTTCTTTTATTATTGTCAATTTCATAGATAAAAATCCGAGCCACAGAAGCGCATAGAGGACAACGAGTGAAGATCTTTGGCTGGGTCCACAGATTACGGAGACAAGGTTTGTATTCTACATTTTGGAATGACTTGCATATTAGCCTAGGATAGAGGATAAGAATTGTTGCTTTTGCAAGCACACGCTGTTCTATATATAATATTTATAATTGGGCTCCAGTCCTTTCATCTTTGGCATGAAGGTTTTCTTCATTAAACTGTAGTATTGAAACTTGGTACCTGGAAGCTCATAAACTTTAGATCCAAGTGAGCAGTGATGAACTTTTAATATTTTTCTGAAGCATTATTGAAACACTTATTAGTTCTCCTCTTTCCATCAGCAAAAGATTAGAGGAAATTTTTTTGCCCTGTGATAGGTCCCATCATATGCTGTAATGTTCCTGGACAAACTGGTATTCATAGAATCATACAACACAGAAGAGGCCCTTCAGCCTATTGGTCAATTGCCAAAATGTGCTAAATCTACACTATTCCCACTTTCCAGCACTTGGCCCATAGCCTTGAATGTTATGACAATAAGTGCTCATCCAAGTATTTTTTTAAAGGCTATGAGGTTCCCCACCCCAACTACCCTCCCAGGCAGGGCATTCTGTCAATCCAGGTGAAAAAAATGTTTTTCTCAAGTCGCCTCTAAACCTCTTGCCTTTCACCTTAAAATTTGCCCCTTTTGTTACTGACCCTTCAATTAAACAGATTAGCTGCTTTCTATCCAGCCTGTCAATGCCCCTCATAACCTTTTATACCTCGATCAGGTCCCCTCTTAACCTTCTCTGCTCCAAAAAAAAACCTGAGCTTATCCAGCATCTCTTTGTACCTTCAGATGCTCCATCCCAAGCAACATCCTGGTGAATCTCCTCAGTACCCTCTCCAGTGGAATCACATCCTTCCTATAGTGTGGTAACCAGAACTACACATGATACTCCAGCTGTGGCCTAACCAAACATTTCCACAGCTCCAACATAACCTTCCTGCTCTCATTATCTGTGCCTCAACTGTGCCCCCTGTTCCTCAGAGCTTCCCAGTGTCCTGCCATTCATTAAGTACTCCTTCGTCTTGTTACTACTTCTAAAGTGCATCACCTCATCCTTAGCAGGGTTAAATTCCATACCTGATGAATCTGTTTATATCTTCTTGTGACTTAAGACCTCCTTCCTCACTGTTAATCACCAAGCCAGTTTTCGTGCCATCCACAAACTAATTTATCACGCCTCTCCACATTCCAATCTGCATTGTTTATATATATCATGAACAACAAGAGACACAGCACTGATCCCTGTAGTATGCCACTGGACATTGGCCTCCAATCACACAAACAGCCGCTGCCATCAGCATCTGTCTCCTGGATCTAAGGTGATTTTGGATCCATTTTGCCAAGATACCCTGGATCCCATGTACTTTTACCTTCTTTATCAGTCTCCTGTGTGGGACCTTGTTCAACGACTAGCTGAAATCATTATAAATCTCATCAACTGCACTACCTTTGCCTACATGCTTGGTTATCTCCTGGAAAAGTTCAAACAGATTTGTTAGTCATGACCTCCCTCTGATAAAGCCATGCTGACTATCACTGATCAAACCTTCAGTCTGTAAATGGAGATGAACTTTCTCCTTCAGAAATTTTCTCCCTAAGTTTCTCTACCACTTGCTGGTCTGTAGATTCCTGGTCAATGACTACAACCCTTCTTGAAAAGTGGAACGACATGAGCTGTCCTCCAGTCCTCTGGCACTGCACCTGTGTCAGAAAGGAATTAAAAATTTGGATCGGGTCCCTGTGATTTCCTCCCTTATCTCCCACAGCTACCGAGGATCAAACTCCTTGGGGATTTGTCCACTTTTAAACCTGCCAAAACTTACAAAACCTCTTCACTCCCTGTATCAAACTGCTGAAGAATCTCTTAATCTATCGGCTTTTCATGCTGTGCCTACATTTTCCTTTTCCTGAATAAAGACAAATATTTAATACTCTACCAATGTCCTTCATGTCCATGCACAGATTTCCCCCTATTTTTCCCTGCTTATTCTCATACCCTTAATGTGCTTTTAGAATATTTTGGGATTCTCTCCAAACTTACCCTTCTTTTTCATGACCCTCTTTGCCCACCTAATTGCCGCCTTAAGTTCCCCCTGCACTTTCTATATTCCTTCAGGACTTCTGTAGATTTGGTGTCTTTGCACCTGCTAACAGCATCTCTTTCCCTTCTTTTCCAGTCCTGGATATTCCTAGACTTAGGGGGTTCTCTGGGCTTGTTGCTCCTACACGTCACCCCAAAGGGAACATGTTGGGCCTGCACACGTCAGTGTCTTTGGGAATGCTTCCCATTGTTTCCTGTCTACTTTTGCTAGGTCCTGCCTTATTTTAGTAAAACCTGCCTACCCCCTACCCAAGACAACAAGGTGCAGGGCTGGATGAACACAGCAGGCCAAGCAGCAT